GGGCTGTCCTCAGCCTCCCTGCAGCACGGAGGCGGGGAGGCAGAGACCCGGGTCTGAGCCGAGGCCTCCTGCTGCCCTGGCCCTGCCTGCAGTAGCTGTAAGTCCACTGTGCCATGGGGCCGATCAGAGCTAAAAGTCCCGGTAAGGCTTGAGCTGGGCCTGCAGCGAGTGCCTGTGAGGGAAAAGAGTCTGAGCACTGAGAGGAAAGGTTGGTTATGTTCTGTTACATGTTTTTTAGTATCACACGTGTAAGAGTGTGGCAAAACTTTATCCTTCCAGAACACACAGCAGGAAAATAGTGCTTTGCCGCCAGTACTGAACACATTTTGTTCTTTCCTCATCTGTCACTTGTTTTTTTCTGCATAGGTGAGCAGTGGCTGTTCATATGGACAGTGTTTCCTCAGGCTCTTCTCTGCAGTTCCTTGCCAAACTACTTCAGGATGCTAAGGAAGACGATGATGATGATGATGATGAATGTCTCGTGAGTCTTTCATAAGAAATGCTCCTTCTTTTACATGTTCTACCATAGCCTTACATTGTTAACTGAGGAGAAGAAATTTCTCTTTTCCCAGAGTGAGTAAAAAGAGAATAAAAACCTTAGAAAGTTTTGCACTGACTGAAACAACTAGTAGATACTTTTAGTGTAACAAGCTCTTGAGGGCGAGAGTAAGGAAGATGCCAGAGGAAAATAAGGAGAGATTGTGACCACAAAATATGTGGGAGATTTAATGTTCAGCCTGAAGGAAATGAGAACATGTAGTTGAAAGAGCTTTACATACTTTAGACTTCCATCACTTTTCCCTGAAGGCTGACAGAGATGAAGGCAATTAGAGCTAAATACTTCATATGAAGGGAGAAAAAGTTGATGCTCAACTTCTGAGTAAAGACGAAAATATCCAGCGGCGACTGAGGATACTAATTCTGTGTGTCAGGCATTGAAGAACGGTAGAGATAATTGATCACTGAAGTACAATAGATTTGTTGGTGATTGTAGAATAGGGAAGGGTGAGTAATCATCCTAAGGTGAACGATCTGAATGATTAGTGAGAGAAATAGCTTTCCATTCTTTTATATCAGTTAATCTCAGGAGTAGATTAAAATCACAGCTTTTGGAAAACATGTTGTTCCTGCAATATGGAACTGCTGCTTTTATCTAGGCATGCATGTGTGCTGGGGAGAAATATCCTGGGAGGGCCACAGGTGCCAACAATCACAATGTGAAGGCCCAAAACTTTGCCAAGTCTCTCAGGATTTTGAAGAAGTAATGTTATGACATGGATAACAAAAATTGCAAATGCCTCATTGTTCCTCCAAATCACTCCTCAGCAAAGAGCTAGGTGGCTGATCTAGCAGTTGTGCACTAGTAGTGGCAATGGTACTAACATTTGACATAAAAGGGTTGCATATCTCTTGAAATTTACTTTCAGTAGGTGGTAGATGTGGCTCTTTACACTCTAACTACCCTTCAGCTGTTTAATGCCTGCCTTTTTTTAAAACTAGCATTATTGGTGTACATCTTTGCAGTAAACATCCTGATTTTAAAAGAATTTGTTTACATCTTATTAATAAAATGAATGACACTTCAGAGACAGAAATGGAAAATTGCCATGAGGGATGTCAATTAAGTCTAAGTCAATCTGGGTAAACAGAAATCTTTATTTTTATTTAATTTAATGTTCTGTGCATATGAGGCACTTTTATCAAACCAAGGAATCTTCATATATAGAGCAATGCCTCACATTGGCCTATTAGCACTAAATTAATTCATAATTAGAGGAAAATGTTGTTGCTCCGTATCATTGCTACTGTCAAAAGGAATCCAAATGCTGTGATGGGTTTTTCACATAGCACCCTTGGTTTCCTGCAATATTTTCATGGCAGGCAAAGCATGGAAGTTATGCCAAAATGCCATGGAAACTAATACTCAAAAAGCACATCTGTCTGTAATACTCTGCTTCTGGGAGTCCTGCTTAAACCCAGTGTGTCAAGGTCACTTCCTGCTGGGTGAGAAAGAAAAAGAAAAAACATTCAGTGGTTCGGTCATGAAATTGTGGGATAATATTTTTTGGATTATAGCAGGGATTTGTTTGATCTCAGATAACCTTTTATATTTAGTGGTATTATCAGTGTTACGGGGCTCTATGAAAATTGATTGAAGTTCCATTTGCCTTTTTTGCAGCCACACTGTTCTGTTAGCGCCATGACTCCTGGTAGTATTGGACCAGTAAAGAAAGAGACTACAGGTAAGGAGGAGTATTTGTAGGTTTTAGCATTCAGTCCCATGTTTGCAGACTAGAACAGCTGTAGTAAGTTACCACTGATGGGCTTCAATAAGAGAGTGGTCACTGACCTTTGAGAGGGAAACAGAATTACATTTTTACTTTTACACTGTAAAATTCTTCTTTCCCTGAAAGCTTAACTGCAGAATATACGAAGAGAAGCAGAAAGGGTAACTCTAGAGCACAGAAGTCTCCAGTGGCATTGACAGAATATGGAGCACAGCCTGGTCATGGGTGTCATAACTGAGCAGCAAAAAGCTCTGTATGAGTACTCTCATGGATTTGTTAATGCTCACTTAGAGCAAAGGAGGAAGATGGGCTTCTAAATACTCGCCTGAAAGCAGCTTCACGGAGTAGACTGCGTGGACCTGAGCCTATGCCTACTAGGAGGAAGAGCTATGAAGTGTACCATGAAACACAGTCATACCATATTCTCCCCCAAAAGTTTCACAACCCCACTTATACCACACATAGGGAGAAATAAAAGCTTTGTTCAGTGCTGTCCTCAACTGACTGAGAGATGTTTTTCAGTTATTCTTCTTCCTGCACCTAGTTCTTTGCCTGGAAATTTGGGCCTTTTTTTTTTTTTTTTTTTTTTTGCTTTACCCAACTCCAGGTGTTCTGGCATCATATAGAATGGCAGACTTGGAGACAATTAGAACAAATATCTTGAGGGTTCCTAGATTTGTGTCAACACCTTGGATTGTACTTAAGAAAGAAAAGAAGACAAGTTTAGTCTTGGCAAGGTTGGTGTAAAGTTCTTCCTGGAGCTAATGCTTTATTGGGTAGCTTAGTTATGAGCCATAAGAAAGGTCACCAAGGACCAGGATGAGTGTAGCAGGAAAGGAACTGTGGCAAATGTAACAAATAGCATATTTTTGCTTGGGATTCCAACAATAATTCCAGAGGTTCTACTAGAAAAACCTTCAAGTTTCAGATTTACTAGCTTACTAGAAAATACTTCCCCATGTAGGACATGCATAGACCATATTATTCTGCCCCTGAACTTTCATGTGTCATCAGTACCTTATCTGAGCTGTGCCCAATAATTAATGGGAAGAACTGGATTTCCATGTGAGGAGGAGGCCCTTTTCTAAATGACTCCACTTCACTTAAAAATCTCATGTCAGGGGGCTTGGGGAAGATTAAGAGTTCATACTTACACACTTTATCAGTTTTGAAGTGCTAGATATTTTATGCCTGAAAGGAGCATTTCCTTGACATAGAGGTTGGGTAAAGGAGATTTAAGGGAAAGGAAGAGAAAATATCCTCCTTTTGCAGATTCTCATTCATAAGATAGTGAGATGATGAACACGGTAATCATTGATTAGAAAGCTTGTAATACAAAGATTTTTCTAAAGCCTAGAAAAATCTGAGTTTTCGGCAAACCTAGAGGAAAAAAGACGTTCCAAAATATGATGTTGTGATTTTTCTTATCACTTACAGGTACTTTTCAAGTGAAATCTGAAAACAGGAAAACTATTTGGAATACAGAGGAAGTTCCAGAAGGATCTGAATTTGATGATACCTGGGACCCTAGAGAACAGCCAGAGTAAGTGAGCTGAGACTGCCTACATGGGCTTTACATAGCATTAATGGAAATATGAGTTAAACAGCATCTACTGCATTTGAGTGAAACAACCATCTGAAAAGCTTATGTCACGGAAGGAGAAAGGAAGGATATTGGTGTTGCCTCTAAAGTAACACGTGAGGAAAGATTTTAACCTCTCCCTTGGAAGCCTTCTGATCTCATAACAGAAACGTGGAGCTGGTTTTTCCCATCATAAGATTACTTGCAGTGTCAGATACTTGTATAGAGTGCTTATAGAAAAAACAATAACAAAAACGTTCTCGAAATAGATACAATCAGAAACGTTATCGAAATAGATACAATCAGGCATATTAGTTATAGTTTGTAGAGGTCAGAAAGCCTTCAGGGTCAATCCACACACAAAGCAGCCTTTTTCTTTCTAATTATTGTGTTCTGATGCCATATCCCGGAGTGCTAAATGCTGGAGCAGATGGAGGGCAGCCCATGAAGCTGTGCATTGTACACTAGTTTGTAGTCCAGAATCCTAATTTTTCTCTGCACGTTAAGCCATGCCATTAGGTGTTCAATTTCCTGATCTAAACATGGGATTGAGACCCACCTGAACCTTAGACTCAGCATTTCTGGAAATGATTTGGCATTCACCTATAGCCTCACATCCAGTTGTACAGTTGTTCTTGAAACCATCACCTGTGAGGTATAAACATGCTCTCTTTGTATTGTGGTCACAACAGAAGCCTTTCTTGTGATATTTTTTGACTGCTTGCCTCCATGGTGGGTAAAATGCAGTGCTTCTCTAGCCTCAAGCAATTACGACCTGAGTTGCACAAATAAAAAGAGAGTATAAGTCTTTGTAACAGTTCATCAAATTGAATCATGGAAAACGGCCCAAAAGGAAAACAGATGGCTAGAGAGGTGCATCCAGAGCTATTAGACAGATTTCTCATTGACTTAGGAATTATACACATATGAACAATGGAGATGTGAAAGAGACTTTCTATACACTCTTTACAACAGCTTAGAGATATGACTCACTCCACTTATTTTGCTCAATTTAGTAGAGGTAATGTATGTTCTAAATACAAGTTTAGCTTGTATTTCCTCATTCAGTAAGTATCAAGAGCAAGGGAGTAGGTGATTCTACATTTTGTAGATATGGACAGGTAGAAAATCAATGTTGGCCAAATGCAAAATAATTCAAATTTGACAAAAGAGCCTTATGCTCCGGCTGCAAGAATATGCTGAATGACAGAACAGAACACATGTAATTGCAACAGTATAATTTTCAAAGCCATTTCCCAAGAGTTTGTGATGTTTGACTAGTTGATAAATATCATATTCACTTAGGATGCATTTCCTGATCCTGCAGGGGCTGGTTTGTGAAGTAGAGGCAGCAAAGTGAGTGCACTGGAAGGTGGAGAGAATAATCTTCACCTGTATTCTACCTAACTCAGTCACAGCTCTGAACAGAAAACCAGTGCAGATGGGTTGAAGACTTGGAGGGAGAATGAAAAGGGGAGAGACAGTGAGATGAGGATATTTACCAGCCCTCTGAGAAATAAAATCTCTTTTAGTCTCCTGTCCCTTCTCCGCTTTATTAGGCAACAACTTCTCTTTCTCAGGTATCAGGTTTTATTCAAACAGTGTGTGGGAACAGAGGATGTCTTCTTTGGGATGAGCGGGAAAGACCCCTCCACAGCCTGCTGTGAAGATCTGGTGGTGAGCTGAACCTGTATCTCCCATCCTTTCTTTGTGCCCTTTCTCTGCCATTTTCAATCTTGCTGCCTTCTTGAGGGACACAGTGTAAACACCAAAGCTGTATTGCTGCTTTTCGCCTCCTGTAGGATTTTCTTGTAGTTCTTCAAGCATTTGTAGGTGATATTTACACTTGCTAACCTGAGGAACTGGTGTATCTCCTCAAGGACCTAGTGTACTCAAGCGAACCTGTGCAAATGCATATATCACATACAGACTTGAGGGAAATATAAAGTAGCTCTAAGATGAAGTTTCATCTTGGAGACAATTTTGGAGGGGAGAGGGGCTGGGAAGGAGATGGTTTTCATCTGCCTGCATTTATTACAAGGTATGCGAGTTAGAATGCTACAATACTGACAGTCTTCAAAGTTACAGGTATCAGTTCCTGTCCCATTGTTATATTATCAAAGACCTCCCTGTTTTCTGAACTTCAGGACAGATAGAACTGCTGTGCAGTTTTTCTAGTAGAAGCAAGCTGTCCTTGGAATACAGAAAGACAGGGGAGTTTACTGGATGTGGAAAACATGTCAAGTACATTATCAGCTCAGGATTTTGAAGAAAATAGGATATACACATCACTAAGCTATTGAAAGCAATGATTATCACTGTCATATTTTCTCTGATAGAGATTACCTACTCAGAATGTTGCCCTTTGACACTAACGTCAAAATATTCATGAAGATGAGATCTTTTATGGCTTGTAGGGCTACATATCTAATTTCAGCTTTACCTCTGCCTATCATTTCAGATTAAAATCAAGCTGCCAGAGACAAAGTCCACAGAGATCACATTAGATATTCAGGACAAGGTTCTTGACCTTCGAACTCCCAAAAAGTAAGTGAAACACAATTGATAGAAGTACAGTTAATATCTTGTTTGAAAGGAGGCTTAACCAAGCCTCCAACTGTGTGGAAAGCAAACCTAAAGATGAAGATAGGATTATTAATTGCACATGAGCAATAAATATAGACAAAACCAGCCTGTGTTTCTGCTTGGGATTGCCTCGACCCATGTGCAGGACCTTGCATTTGGCTTTGTTGAACTTCATGATGTTGGCATGGGCTACTTAAATAGCAAGTCTTCAAAGGGCCCAAAATGTCTGTCAAAAAACTGCCCAAGGCCTTGAAGGACTTATTGGGAGTTTGTTTTCTAAACACGAGTTTGTACAAATATATGACTGAAGATGGTAAAAAATGTGCAGATACATTTTCAGAAGCTGAAAGCCAAATTATGGACCTATCCAGGCATGGATCCAGAGATGGAAATGTTACAAGGTTTCCCTAAAGAGATTTCCTTTGAGTTATTTTTTTTTATAGAGCTATTTCAGACCTGATATACTCTCAGACTTCTCAGTCTTCCTCCATATTTCTCTCAGTGTGCAATTGCCCTCCCTGAGATTTCCAGATAATTCCCATGACTGTTTTGCTTTAAGTCCTTCTTCACAATGGAGTGTTTTCATAAGAAAGCTTAATCCTCTCTGGGCTGACTTGCTACACTGAATGAGATGTGGGAAGATACATATGTAAATAGATTCCTGCAAATAAATTTAAGGTGCAGGCCATGGATTAAGGCCTAAATAAGTTCTGTCTCTAGTGGACTAACTATAGGAAAGCCACCTTTCCCACAGACAAAACCAGGCTGAGTGTGTTACCTCCTGCTTGGATTTAACCCAAAGATGCAACAGTAGTAGAAGAACATAGGAAGTGCTAGATCTGCAACTGGAAAATCAGGAGGAGTAATTGTTCAGCTCATGACTTGCAGAACTTATAAATAGTAAAAGAGGTAGCTTAATGCAATACTGCAGATGTAGGGACACCTCAGCATCCTTTTTATTTTGCAATTCTGTCTTTCTGGTGACTCAGATCTGCTGTTATCTTCTTAGAATCCAGCTGTCTCTAGGTACAAGCCTAGAAAATAAAGTTTGATGTAAATCTAATGGTTGCTTGGGTAAAGCCTGAGCCAGTGCTACTTTCACAAACATAAGTGCAAGTCTTCTTAGTATGAGAGAAACAAACAAGGTTTCAAGTTCTACATACTGAAAACCACTGTACTCTCACAGATGTGTAGGAGGGCTCAAAGGAACTGTTTCCTACTCTGTAGTCCTGGAGCTGATTCTAAGCCAAACTGATTTTAAGGACTTGTCCAAATTGTAGCAAATGGCTGCCTTCAGTAGGTGCGGTGCACAGGTGTTGTGACTGTACCTCTGTCAGCCATGGCTTCTACAAGTCAGCTGAAGAGTTCTGAAAAAGAATCAGAGTGACTTTAACCCGAATTTAAAGTAACCCTCCTCTATGCTACCATGCTGTCTTGTTGGGCTTTGTAGAGCTTGGCTGGGCAGATGTCTTGATTCTAAATTGTCCTTGATTCTGCTTGCACTGTCAATAGAGTGGAGGTCCAAGACTGGCCCATCATTCATATTGTTAATATGTAAGCCTGGGATAAGAAAGAGTCCAGACACTGCATGAGCAAGTAAGTTTGAACTGTCATCAATGAGAAGAGTTGAACGGATACAGACTGAGACATCCTTGTGAGGAAATAAACCAGAAGGCTTGTCATCCATTCCAGGAAAAGCTGTATGCCTAACATAGTGAGGGACTGAGGAATAGCTCCTGAGTCCAAGATACAGCCTTTCTTGGTGTATTATGTGCCTGAGCCACAGGTAGGGAATTGCTGAACTAATCTTCAATGTATGTTAAAATCCTAGCAACTTCATAACTGTAAGTCCATTTTCGTACTTGAACTGTGCTTTGCAGTGTAGACATATCCTTTGTGAAACTGGACTGGCCAGAATTTCTAATCAGGCTGCACCACTTATTTCTTTTTTACTAGAGAAGACAAACTCCTGAAGATGTGTTCAGGCTTTAGGCATTATTCAAATTTTTACCACTAGGAGCGCATTATTAATGCAGCTCCTCTTTCCTCTGCATTTAAAATGCATCACTGTGCAAAACCAAGAACAGTGGAGAGTGCCCACAATCCATTACTGGGAACCGCTGTCCTAGGCACAGCCAAAAGAAAGGAATAATATTGGAAATATTTCAGGGCCTGTATAGCTGTGTACCAGGTATTGCAGGAACCCCACAACCTGTCATGAGAACGAGATAATACTGAAAAAACATTCCTTGGTATGCCTGCAATGCCATCTCAATTGCTCACTGTGTCCTATTTTACAGGAAGCTGCTGCTGCACCTCCCCTACACTGTTGACAGCAAGAATGGTAAAGCTCTTTTTCTCTCTGAAGAGGAGACCTTGGAAGTCACCTTGAGAGTATCAAGGAAGTTTGATTTCATAAATTTTGTCTGATGGATAGAGAAATAGAGAAAGTTTGCAAAAAAAGAATCTCTTAGTTTTAAGTCTTCTTCAGACCTAACTGGTCGTGAAATAGTAGATTGTTTCCCTTGAACAGTCCAGGGGGAATAGCCCTGGAGAAATTGAATGAGTCAGGAGGAACATAGCACCCATATATCCTATAAGCTGAGACTGTCCAGCTCTTGTGCTGCTCTGGTTAATGTTCTGCTTCTTTCAGTCTGATATAGGCTCTGTGAGTCAGGAAATAGGAGATGACAATTCTGTAAGACAGAGAAAGTCTTTCTGTGGTTATGGCTGATAAGTGGCACAATGAGGCTCTGGCCCCAATGAGTCTGGTGCTTAATTGCTGTTGCAAGACTTGCAAGTGGTGATATTCTTGCTTGGCCTCCAATGCTGGGACTGGGGCCAGTTCAGAATCTCCTCTTAGCTACTTCTTGTTGAGAAGATCAAAATTCTTCAGGGATCCATATCCACACCTGAGGCTCCATTACACTGTCAGAACAAGGTAACCAACTATAGTTGGATTGTTGAACAGCTCAGCTCTTTTGAAAAATTTTTGACAATGTATGTTTCAGTGTCATCTCTTTACCTGCTCTGCCTCCAGCTATTTTTCTGATCTTTCTTGATTTATTAATAAAAGAATGTGTTATAATGAACAGTTCCAGTTACCTTTCACTCTGTGTTCTTTATATTATGTCCTGAGAGACTTCTATAAAAGTGAGATAAGAGAAACTTTGCATAGTTGCATCACTCAAAGGGCTGAAATGTGGCAAAACCTTTTCTTTGGCCTTCAGGTCCAACCTAGAGCTACAGAGGTGGGTAACCTAGATGTTTCTCTTACTAGTTGCTGGGCAGATATATTCATTTAACGTTGTTAATCATGCGAGCAACAAAGGTATTTGCCCAGTGATCAAAGTGGCGAGGACAAGCAAGGTCTTTCATGTTGATGGACTTTAGGTACACTTAACCAAAAGCTTGTAAACACTTTAAAAACAAAATGGCTTGGGTCCTGCATTCTTCTGGTGCAGAAGTAGAACAAATTAATTGACCACCTAGGTTGCAGACAGTACCCCTTGTTTGGGGTTTGTGTGGTGGGGTTTTGGTAGTCGGGGAGGGGCTATAGAGATGGCCCCTGTAAGAAGCTGCTGGAAGCTTCCCCAGCTGCAACCAGACCTGGCCCTGGCCAAGGCCAAGCCAATCAGTGCCTCTGTAAATAACATACTTCAGAGGGGGCACAGCACAAGGAGTGGTGGTGTGGCCCTGGGCAGGGATGGCCAGACCACTTGCGTGCTCAGCCTCTGCCACAACCCAGTCCTCCACTGCAGCCCCAGCTTCCACCACAGCCCTGGCCCAGCCAACCCAGTGTAGCCCATGCCTGAGAGCTGGGAGCTTTTCAGGAGCCAGCGAAATAACCAACAGCAAAGAGAGGAGTGGGATGTGAGAGAAACAACAACACAGACACGAAGGTCAGTGAAGATAAAGGAGAGGGAGAAGGTGCACTACAGCGGAGATTCCCCTGCAGCCCATGGTGAAGACAATGGTGAGGCACGTTGTCACCATGCAGCCCATGGAACTGGAGCAGAGCTTGCCCTGCAGCTCATGGAGATTAATGCTGGAGCAGACATCCATGTGCAGCCCATGGAGGACCCCGCACTGGAGCAGGTGGCTGTGCCCGGAGGATGCCGTGACTCCATGGAAGGGACCCATGCCAGAGCAGTTAGCGGAGAACTGCGGCCTGTGCAAAGGACTCACGTTGGAGTAGTTTGTGATGGACTCTGCCGTGAGGGGGACCCCAGTCTGGAGCAGGAAAAGACTGTGAGAAGCCCTCTCCAAAGAGGAATGAGAGCCAGAGACAACACGTGATGAACTGACTGCAACCCCCATTCTGTGACCCTCTGCTGCTGGTGGTGGGGGAGAAGGGAGAGATTGGGAGCAAAACCTTTAAGCCTGGGAAGAAGAGAGGGGTGGGGGGAAGGTGCCTTTTTAAGATGTGGTTCTATTTCTCATTATCTTACTCTGGTTTTGATTGTTAAATGGGTTTATGTTTTCCCCAAGGCAAACCTGTTTCTTGCCCATGACCCTAAGTAGTGAGTGATCCTTCCCTGTTCTTGTTTCAACCCACGAGGTTTTACCTCTTGTTCTCATTATTTTCCTCCCCATCCCACTTGGAGGGGAGGAGAGGATGGGCAGCTGCATGGTGCTTAGTTGCCAGGTGGCCTTAAACCATGACACCCATGCAGATAAATTTCTGGCAGGCTGTAGTGAGAAGATGAACCTTCATGATGGATTGAAGACATGGACAGTGAGTTTCCAGGTGTATTTCTTTGTTTTGTCAGAAATTTTCAGAATTCACAGTATGTTTGTAATATACTGCATTATAACTCTAGGACAAATTAAGCTGGTATCTGGACATTTCAACCACTTCCACTTAAAAGTGGACCCATTGCTCAGGTCAGAATAATACTACCCAACCTCTGCTTTAGTGTTAATGCACTGGAAAGCAGATACCTCAGTTATGATTCATCACAAGCTATTGAATATGCTGATAACACTAAGGGGCTACTCCAATTTGCATTTGCTTAAGTTTCCATAAATTGCATTTTAATGTCTCTTATTCCTATTCTACAAAGCTGTGGTGCAGGGGAACAATGCAGATGTATGAAAAGGCTGAGATCATTCCTCCTGACTCAGTTTGTACTACCTGTGGTTGCCAAGAAGGTACAATAAGGCTGTTTCTTGGAAAATGGTTGTCTCTGTGGTCCCTAGACAATATGCTCCTTCCTTTTTGCATTTCTTACACGGATTACAAGGAAAGCAGAAGATTGACCTGTATTTATACACATGTGAAGGTAACGTTTGCCCAAATTAATTGAGTAAATCCATGGCAAAGCAGAATATAACTGAGCCCTATTCCAGTGCTCTATCAAAACAGTAATGTTGCCTTCATAGTTGGCAGTAGTAATTTACTAATCCTTAAATCATCAAGTTCTGCTTAATTTCATGTCAATGTGTGATACTGAAAACAGCTATGACTTTGGCTTATTGTGCCTCTCTCCAGTGTTTTTTAGTTTCCTATGAAAATAAGCATATGCCACACTGGTATCTATGTTCTATTTGTTCCCCAAATATTTTTTAACCTGCAGGCATTTTATCTACATTCAAGAGACAAAAATCAGAGGTAAGTATGTTTTATAAGAAAGTTGGCTGCTGAATAGAAAAGGGAAATACAAATTAGTACCACATAAGGGGGAAGTTCTAGTGTAATTTCTTGTACCTGCTGGCCAGTCACTCTGTGCACCCATCCTCCAGGCTACAGCAGGTCATCCACACCACTCCATGGGGGGAAGCTGGCAAGTTGGTGAGATAGCAGGATAGGGAAGGCATTGCAGGGAAAGGGAGATGCGCTGGGAGGGGGAAGCTGAAATCACAGTGTTAGGGTATATGAACACAGGAGACAAACTCATAGGAAGCCAGGCTTCATATTTCCCACTGCTCAAAAGGACAAGGTCTGGTGCTGTTTTCAAGAGTAGAAACATTGGTCTGCTTGTGGGCAATTTGCTGTTCTGATCAGGTCCATTGCCTGAATGCACCATCAACACCTGGAGATCCTCTCGCATTCTTATTTCTTCCTATCAAGGAGACAGAGGCTGCCCTAAGTAAAAGGTTGTGTTTTTTTTTCCCGTAGATCATCCCAAGAGGAAACTGGTCAAAAGGACATGCAGGCTGCCAAGCTTCCCAGATGTCTGGGGCTACTTCCAGCTACAAGAGAGTTAACTTTTTTGCAAGGGCTTGAAGGCAGTTTTGCTTTGCTGAACTGTCAGTGGCAGAAATCTTTTGAAGGGGATACAAAACCCCCTTTGAACATCAAAGCCGTTGCCTAAGTACCACTCCAACACCTGCAGGCATCTTAATTAATCAAAATTATGAGCCCAGTTAAACAATCCAGCCATTAAGCATCATCAAGCTTTATTTGGTTCCCTAAGAAACATCTTGATTAAATGTATTGCAGTTAAGTAGAGGGTGCTGTAGCTGTGGAAATGAGATAGAGGCTGTTTACAGTAGTATCCCAATAAACTGCAGGTTATCGTCTTGCCTTGTTCATGCATTCGGTCCTCCAGTTGTGGCAGAGCCACCATTCCCATTTTGACTTGTTCCTGCCTTCTGTAAGAACTATGGTGTTGTGCTAAAGTATATAGCCCAGCTTGCTCTGTGTGCTTCACCTCTCTTCATATTCCCCTTTGACCACTTGCTGACCTTGTCAGGCAAAGATACTTTCCTCATTCTACAGCGTGAGAAAGAGAAAACCCAGAAGAGTTGCTGCATATAAACACCCGAGACAGAACAAGAACTTAAATTTAGATTTTTTTCCCTTAAACTTGCAGCCTAGCTTCTGGGCTGCTCTCATTCCCATCTTTCCCCAGGTCTGTTGTTGGTATCATCATGTACCTCTTGTATTTGTTTTAAAAGGAAGACTACTTCCTTTTTCTGCTGTTCAGTTTAAAGTGTATATCCAAAATCACTGTATACTTTTTTCATTGTGTGAAACACTGCTTTATCAGTATCTGCTTCCCTCCAGATAAAGTTTATCTAAAATAACTAAGCTGTATCTATGTGTACAGAAAGATCTCTTCCCTACAGCCTACAGAGTAAGTCAGGAGACAAGACTGGTATTGCTTCTGTCTTTCTCATCTAACCAATGCTCTGTGCATGAGACTCAGCTCCTGTGGGCAGAATGGAGCTCCGCTGCATCCCTTGCAGGCTGCCGTGCACACTGACACTCAGAGGAGTGTGAATATTCAAAGGAAACTCTCAGTGAAGTAACCTCTGTCCTCAAGGCTTCCCAGATTTTCTCATTCAGGTTAGTGATATCTACTTTGAATGCTGGCAGCATGGGCTACTGGATACACGGCAAGACAGACCAATGGGCAAGTGCACGTACCAACACCAAGCAGGCAGACCTCGAGTATGTCCAGCAGGCTCACTGCATCCTCACA